GAATTCCCTTCACCGTGGTTGGCTCCTATTTCTCTGGTAGAATTAAGGTCCAGAAAATTCTGCTGTAATGTGTAAGAGTAAGACTAATGAAAAAATAGTTTCAAGGTTTTGTTGAAGTCACAGATGTTGGGACAGACACATCACTGCTCAGTTCTGAAGCTTTGCCAGCACTCTGGGATTGCTCTCAGCCTGCCAAGCACAGGTAGCTTCAACTTCAAATCTGCACTATATTGTATTGTTAAAAACAGCAACTTGTTCTGTGTTTGATGCAGCCAAGCCGAAGAATTCCGAAGATGCCTCTGCAAACTCTTCCCACAAGTCCTCCCTGTCTGCCTCAAGGTGTGATCCGAAGCACAAGGACTGTTTGCTGCGCGAGTTCCGCAAGCTCTGTGCTATGGTGGCCGAGAAGCCAAGCTACAATGTGAAAACACAGATCATCCAGGACTTCCTGAAGAAGGGATCTGGAGGAGGTATGATTCCTGCTTGGCACTTCCCACATGTGAAAGCCCTCCCAAAATCAACCTCAAAGTATGATTTCGGAAGGAAAGGTGACCTAAGAGCTGATGTGGTCCCAGCTGTGTGCTGTGGTGGTTTCAGAACTGTGGAGATGATGTTTGCAAAGTGAACCGTGTGAAGAGCAAATTCATACAAGGATGTCTTACTGCAGTGCTCTGGGGACATTTGTAGATGTCAGATTGCTGCCAAATTTAGTGCTGAGATCAGATTTGGAGGAAAATTGCAGAATCACAGAACCAATGAGGTTGGAAAAGACCTCTGAGATCACCAAGTCCACCGTATGACCTAACACCACCATGTCAACCAGACCATGCTCCTAAGTGCCATGTCCAGTCTCTCCTTAAACACCTCCAGGGATGGTGACTCCACCACCTCCCTGGGCAGCCCCTTCCAATGCCTGACCATCCTTTCTGTAAAGAAATTCTTCCCAATGTCCAACCTGTCTTTCAGATGAAGCAGAACAGCATGTGCAGAGGAAGCCCCAGCTGTGGGTTTCATCCCCAGGGTCATGCAAATGGGCACCAACAACCAGAGCCTGTCTGAAAATAAATTCTGACAGTTATTATGGTCTGTGCTTTTTTTCCAGATGGTTTTCATGGGGATCTGTACCTGACCATTAAGCTGCTGTTACCAGGTGTCATTAAAATTGTTTACAACTTGAATGATAAGCAGATTGTAAAGCTGTTCAGTAGGATTTTTAACTGCAACCAGGAAGAAATGGTTCGGGACCTGGAACAGGTGAGTACAGAGAGTTCTCTTACTTTCTGCTGTTCAGTCCTTTGGTATGGAAATTGTGATGCTTTGGGTTTTCACTCCTAGTTGAAAGCTTTAGTTTGACTAATGGGAGTTGGTGATTTACTTTGGTTTTTTTTTTACTTGGCTTTGGCAGTTTTCATAGCATCTTTTGCCATCTGGAACCTCTAGAAAATCATTTTTTTAAAGAAAGCAAGACACAAATTCACCTGCAAAACTTTAGAAAGCACAGAATAAAATGTCTAGAGCAAGTCAGGCTGCAGCTGTCTAAACTGCTTTGTTTGGCACATTCATACAGAACTGATCTCTGTTAGTCATTTTGTAACATCACCTACCAAAAACTGGGACTCAGTGAACAGATCTCTCACTGTGAGCTGCAGTTGGTTGGTACAGCTAAGCCACAGTGCTCAGGTGTGCAGTGAATTCCTGTGCACGGGAGTTGCTGACTGTGCACACTGTTCATTGCAAGATGGAGAAAATGTGTGAATTAGTTAGTGAGGCTAATTCTTTCATCTCTGTGCATGCCCTGGGTATATGTTGCCTTCTAGTGAGAACACTAGCCTGTTTCAGATCCTTGGATTTACAGGTGGATTGATCCTGAGGAAATAAATGGTCTGTGATGCTGCAGCAGTGGACAGAGCCATGAGGTGCTGCTGGTGCTTGCACTTACCTCTTTAGGGAGATAAAACAGCTGAGCAGATGTTCTGTGTCGTGGCAGCTTTTTTGCATGTTTGATTCCAATTTCTTCCTGCAATCCCAGCATCATTCCTGTCCTTTATCCTGCTCACTGGAACCACATTGAATCCCCAGTGGCATCTCCATTCTCTGGCCACAGCTCTGATCTACAGCCTTGTTTTGTTTTTGGAGACAGGGAGATGTGTCCGAGACCATCCGCATCTTCTTCGAACAGAGCAAGACTTGTCCTCCAGCAGCCAAAAGCCTCCTGACCATCCAGGAGGTCGATGAATTCCTAATCCAGCTGTCAAAGCTGACTAAGGAGGATGACCAGCAAAGTGTGCTGCAACAGATTAGTCGCAGGTAAGGAAAGCAATTGGCCCCTGAAGGTTTGCCCTAACACTAGGAGTGGTTATCTGTGGAGCACAAGATGGACTAGGTGAATCATGAGCCACAGAGACTGATCTTAGCATCTGTAGCTGCTGTTAGTGGTTTGATTCAGCCACACTGAGTGCTGACCAGCAATGGAGAACAAGTACAGCTCCAGTTTGTGCCAGGGAACTTCATTCTTGCCTGGCAAGGCACTGTTCATTCAGCACCAACCAAGTGACTTGCAGAACTACCTTAGTGGTGTTTAGCTGTTAATTAAGTTGTCATTCTTAGGTATGTTGGGAAAAGCCTTCGAGCCATTTATATATATGTAAAAGATTCTTGGTCTGGCTCAGTTTGTGCTGCGCTGAGGATGTTACTACCACTTAGTGTTGATGCATTAAGTAAATTTTGCAATTTACTTAATTTCCAAAGGTATATGAACACTGTGGCAGAAATAATATTGGCATAAAGATGCCAATTTTAGCCTTTAGTGCCTCTGAGATGTCACTAGTACTCATTTGAGTTCAAACCCTCCAGAAAGAGGGAACCTTATTTTATGGAGACCTGGTTCAGTTAGTTCTTTTCAGCTGGAAAGTAGGTCAGTTGAATATCTACCATTGATGGACCTTATCTTCTCTTCTTCAGGTGTACAGGCAATGACCTGAAATGCATCATCAGGCTAATTAAGCATGACTTGAAAATGAATGCTGGAGCAAAGCACGTGTAAGTCTTCCTATCCCTGTGAGAGAAAACCAGAAGTGAGCTTTAGCCTCAGGAGCCAGGAGCAGCAGTCCTGAGGTTGATCCATATTTCCCTGCTTTCCTTGGTTTGTTAAAGGTTGGATGCTTTGGATCCCAATGCTTACGAGGCCTTCAAAGCATCCAGGAACCTGCAGGACGTGGTGGAGCGAGTGCTGAAGAACCAGCAGGAGGCTGAGAAGGTGCCGGGGCTGAAACGCACCCTGAGCGTGCAGGCCTCGCTCATGACCCCCGTGCAGCCCATGCTGGTATGTTTGTGGGCTGTCCCTCACCTGGGACCCTCACCTGGAAGGATCAGTAGGCAGAGAAGTGGCTGTGTGCAGTGTGAGCTGATAGTGTTAGCTTTAATTGTTAGGTTTAATGCCATTTCATGCAGCATTTCCTACCAAGAGGCCACTAGTCAATGCACTCAGGACTGGCACCTTCAGTGCCACTGCCAAGTTAATATCTTGACTTGCTTTCAGTCCAGAAGTGACCTTTTTGTTTCTTTGCTGTCATTCCAGAAGTTGGTCCTTTCTCTGGAAATATTCTAAGCTTTCCTTTGTATTAGCCACTCAAATAAGTCTGGCTTTTTGTTTGAACAAATTAAGAGTTAAATATTTACCTTTGGGCTAAGCACACTCCTACAAAAAGCACAGTGCTTGCACCTTTAAGTGTGTGAAGGAGAGAAGCATTGGAAAGCTCTAAGTACCTGGGCATAAGCACATGATTCTAAGTAAATGAGTAATAAAAGGAAGACTTGGACTGGCTAGCAGAGACCCTGGACAGAAAGATCTCTGTGGGAATTGGTAGTTTCTTCATGAACTTGAGTAAGAATAGCTTTATTTTTCAATGTACTTGAGCTTGTTTGGATCTTGTGTTTCTCTCCCTCAAGGCTGAAGCTTGCAAGTCCATCGAGTATGCCATGAAGAAGTGCCCTAATGGCATGTATGCAGAGATCAAGTATGATGGAGAGAGGGTGCAGGTCCACAAGAATGGAGATCACTTCAACTACTTCAGCAGGCGCCTCAAACCTGTCCTCCCACACAAAGTAAGCACCTGTACACTGTCTGCTCTGTGCCAGCTCCTCCCCTGCATTTCACAGTAGTTCCTATAGACAAGGAGGATTCCTCCTCTCATAGACTGATTTATGATTTATGTAATTAGTTAGATTTTGGAAAAGCAACACTTAATAGAGTTATGATCGCTTAGTTTTTGGTGCACATGAAGAGCTTCAAACTTAAGCTATCTGCTGTGGAGTCTTCTTTATGCACTGCCCTTTGGGAGCCTTGATGCCAGTTGGGTGGCTTGTTTCTATGTACTAAAGCTTCATTTTTCTCTTGGTAGGCTGTGTGTACCATAGTAGAAAGTACAGCCAATGCAGATATACCTACATGTGCCTCAGACACTTCTGGAGAAAACACCTGCATTGCAGTGATTCCCTCTCTTCAGCCAGGAGACTTAAGCTTTTTCTTTCCTTTTTCTTTTTCCCAAGGTAGCTCACTTTAAGGACTTCATCCCCCAGGCTTTCCCTGGGGGGCAAAGTATGATCCTGGATTCAGAAGTTCTTCTCATCGACAACAAAACTGGCAAACCACTTCCTTTTGGGACACTTGGTGTGCACAAGGTAAAACAAAATTGAACAAAAAGTCCTTTGTTGTGGTAAGAGGCTGTTACTCTGCTGATTTAAATGGACAAATAGATTTGATATTAACCTGATCACTGGCAGGACAGGAAGAAAAGTTGTAATTTGTCATCATTTATCATGGCTTGAGCAGTGTATGGCAGAGTGGGAGACCACAGTGATGCAGTATTTAGTGCTTAGGGATGTTATGTAGTGCTTGTGTCTAGACTAAATGGGGGTGAGGAAGAGGACAGTAACATCAAAATTAAACTGGGAGTGCTTAAGTTAAAAGCAGCCACTAATCTGGGTTTGTTGCAGCAGCAGTGACAGATGTTACATTGCCCAAAGTCATTAATATTTGTAGTGTTATTTCCCATCAGTAGGAAATTAACATGTTTTATCTCCTTAGCTTGGTGCTTTGACACATTTGGTCTAAATCTTAATTCTCAGAATACTTCTTTTAGGAGAAGCCTAAACTTGGCATGGCTGAGATATTATGGAGATAAAAATCCATCCTTTTGGTTTTGTTACTTTTCTAAAACTCTCTGATGTGACAGTACGTTTCTTTTAATTGATTTTAATTGTCCCCTAGAAAGCTGCTTTCCAAGATGCCAACGTTTGCCTCTTTGTGTTTGACTGCATCTATTTCAACGACGTCAGCCTGATGGACAGGTGTGTCTCTGGCATGTGTGAGAGTGGCCTGACTGGTTTCCCAGCATGGACTGACTGGAATACACCACCAGAGGGACCAGTTCACTTTGGCTGTTGGCCTGACTGCTCACCCTGTGAACTTGGGGCTGCATGGCAGGATCCCTGCTGTGCCAAGGGGTTTCTCTATGGAGCTCCATCTTGTTCTGCAGTTCCAAAATATCAGAATCAGCTGCATCTCAGCTGAACCGAGTGTGATTCAGTACCAGCTCATCTTATATCCTCTGAAGTTAAACACACTTTCAACACAGAATTTCTATTTTATCACTTCCTGGTGGAAAGTAAGAATTGCTGGTCCTCTCTGGAACTCTGTAGGATAAATCATTTCCTATTTAAATAGCTTCTTTCAGTGTTCGTGTGACTGGTTCTGCATGTTAAAGTTGCTGCTTGTCCCTAATGATCCTTTCCCTGCTCTAGGCCTCTGTGTGAACGGCGCAAGTTCCTCCGCGATAACATGGTTGAAATCCCAAACCGCATCCTCTTCTCGGAGATGAAGCATGTGACAGTGAGTTCAGTGTCAGCTTACTGTGTGTGCACTCTGGACACTGCACTGCTCCTCTACCACACAGCCTTTTTGATGGTTAAATCTGCAAATTCAGCCTGTCAGAATGGGTTTACTTCTGCTCTGTGTGCAAGACTTCTTGAGCCAGAGCTGTTCAGCAAGGCCATCCGAGCTCCCATCTTGGCCTGGCTACAATCCCTTCAGTACAGTCTTAACTGGACATCTCAGGTTTTTTGGCTTCTTAATGATTTTCTAGCCACTGTTACTCTGACATTGTTAGGAGGAGCTAAAGTCTGTTGTTACTCTGTCCTGTGCAATGCTGAGCTGTGTGGAGAAGACCTCAGTATGGCTGAGGGGACCCAGACTGCTTCCAGACTGGGAGACATCCCCAAGACACAGCCCCAAGACATCCTGGGTGCTATAACTGCATCTAGACAGCAGCATATTGGGTTTTTCCTTTGATTATGCACAAGCCCTTTGTCCCATTATTTTCCCCCACTGCTACTGATTCCTGTAGCACTTTAGTTTTGGTGGAGAATTCGTGGACATTTGGGGCAGAGAGAGCATTTTGGGAAGAAGCAAATACATAAGTCTCAAGGCAGTTGGATAGTGAAGGAAGCAGGTGCTGCTGGCTGAGAAAATCTGATCTTGTCAGTAGGGGCAGGCTCAGCTCTGAGGGGTTTTTTAACTAGCAAACCCTTCTCTTCTTGGGACACATTCCCAGCTTAGTCACTGGACGTGCAGCGAAGAGAACATGTATGGGACTCTCTTTGGAAAACTTAGGAAGTTATATTTTCTTCTCTCTGCAGTTGACTTGGGGTTAGTGCAGAACTCCTCTAACCAGAAAGCCTGAAGACCAAAGCCCTTTGACAGTCCTGAGCTAACTGTGACTCTTCTCCTTTTCAGAAAGCTTCAGATCTGGCAGATATGATCACCCGAGTCATCCGTGAGGGACTGGAAGGATTGGTCTTGAAAGACTTAAAGGCAAGTTCACATTTCCTCTTTACTGCTGTGTGCTGGGAATTGGGGAATAACAACAGGCAGAATCTATGGATTCTTGAAGCATCTCTGGGTTTTGTGGATGTTGACATCCAATCCAAGTCACTCCTCATATATTGAGCACTGCTGTGCTCGGGTACCTGAGCTGCTTAAAGGCTGAGGCTGTGTGAGGAGCTGCTGCCCACCAGGTGATCTCTCTGATGAGGCTCCTGCTTGTTCTCACAGGGCAGTTATGAACCAGGAAAACGACACTGGCTGAAAGTGAAGAAGGACTACCTCAACGAGGGTGCCATGGCTGACACAGCAGACCTGGTGGTGCTGGGAGCTTTCTATGGGCAGGGCAGTAAAGGTAAAGCTGGAGTTGGCTTAACTCAAAGATCTGTCAGTTCAGGAAACTCCCAAGCTTTTTCCTGTTCCAGGCCTCCTGCAGCAGCAGTTGTCCCAGAATGAGACTGGCTGTAGCAGTGACTGTGTGCTGCAGCCCATCCCATGCTGGGCTGAGTGTGCTGTGGGTGAGCAGAGCTGTAGGTGTTGGGCTGTGCTCATTTGCACCCTGCAGGGGCTCTGTTCAGCTTTGTATGTGAGCTGATGCCATGAAGCCATCACACGCCCAAGGCCCTGAAGATGAAAAAGGGGTTGGGCTCATTACTTTGCTTTTTGAAAAGCTGTGGCTTGTGCTGTAGAAGACAAGACTCACCCTGCTGTCCCCTCCCACAGGTGGGATGATGTCCATCTTCCTCATGGGCTGCTACGATCCCAAGAGTGAGAAGTGGTGCACTGTGACCAAGTGCTCTGGTGGCCACGATGATGCCACCTTGGCACGTCTGCAGACAGAGCTGGATATGGTGAAGATCAGCAAGGTGAGAGGGGCTGTGGCATGGAGATGAGCAAAGGGCTGAGTGAGCCACCACTGAGCTGCTGGTTAAATGCAGGGTTGAAGTGCTTTGCTGGGAATGAGCAAGAGTTAAAGCAGATAAACCACTGTGACACCAGTGAGATGTAGCTGCAGCCAGCTCCTGAGTGAGGCACTGCCTGGGGTTTGTACTCAGACACTGAGTGGGAAGCCAGGCACCATCTGTTTCCTGCTAGGACAAAGTTTTATTGGGAAGAGTATCCATTTTTTTTCTACTGTTTTGGGCACATTGTGATTGGCAAAGACAGTCACTAGATGGGGCTGCAGGAGAGAAGTGCTGGCAAGAGTCTGACTCTTGTGTCACCATAACCTCACGTGGTGGAGTTTAGACTTCTGTGACTGACTTACTTAGGTGAGGAATCTTATTTTTCAACACTTGACAAAGAAACAGAGAGCTGAATTCTAATATTTACTTGACATCCTGAAGGCCATTTGCATCAAGGTTATAGAATCTAAAAATGGGTAGTTCTGTATGAGTTGCAGTTGAGCAACAGTTACTGTTTCAGGTACAGAATGACAGTAATTAAGAGCTGTGTTGCAGGTAATATTTGTGATTTTCTAGATAACAAACTGCAGCTGATCAGTGGCCCTTACACTGCAAGCTAAAGCAAGTTTCATCCATGCAAAGGCAACATAATGCCTATATGCTGACCTACTTCTGGGCCACATTTCAGCAGCTTCTTCTGTAGAAGTAGGTTCATATATGATGATAAGTGCTATCATTTTGTTTCTGTGCTTTTCATTAATAGGATCCTACTAAAATTCCAAGGTGGCTAAAAATTAACAAAATCTACTACCCAGACTTCATTGTCCCAGATCCAAAGGTAAGTGCTGCCATAGTCATTTAGCTCCATTTTCCAGCCCTGATACAGCAATCTTCTAGAAATCATTTAAGTGCACAAGTTGTTTCTGTCACAAAATTAGTCTTCATACTTGGAATGGGAAATTAAGCACAAGATTTTTTATCTCTGAATCTTGCAGGTGTGTTTGAGGCTAAGAGCTTCCTGAAGAAATCACATCTGCAATACTTCTGGGAAATATTCTTGTGCATGAAATCACTTCCAGAAGTGAATTTAGTTTAAATTTGAGACATGAAAAATTTGACCTAAAACATGATATAAAACTGTTACCCGAAAGTTGCTATTGTTTTAGGACATGCATCAGTATGCTGTGTGCCACATATACATGTGTGCCTGTATGTCTGATTGATAAAAAAGGTATTACTTAGGTATTGGCATTAAATATTAGTTGGGAATCTTTGACTTGGTTAAAGGAATAGGTTTTAAGGTGGCCAAGAAGGTCAGTTTTTGTGTGTGGAACTGTGCTGAGGGTGGGGGTTAGTGAACACAGACACTTTAGAGTTGGTTCATGAGAGAACACAGTAATGTGACATGACTTCCTCCCTGCTGTGTTTAGAAAGCCCCAGTGTGGGAGATCACAGGGGCTGAGTTCTCCAAGGCTGAAGCTCACACTGCAGATGGGATCTCCATTCGCTTCCCGCGCTGCACGCGCATCCGGGATGACAAGGACTGGCAGACAGCCACCAACCTGCAGCAGCTTAAGGTGTGTTACCAGGGCATCTGCCCCACGTCCTAGAGTAACTTCTGACAACAACCCCTAGCTGAAAACACTCACTGGGACAGCAGGGTATGTAGTGAAGAGACCTGCTGACTGGTAGATGTGATGGCACGTTACATTTTCTGTGTACCCTTGGCTCAGGCTGCTTGCTGAATTGTTTGGATGCAAATCTCTTTCAGGGCATTTCTCAAGTCTCTTGAGCTGCTGTGTTTTGCAGTTGGAAAAGTCTGTGCTGGCAGCTAGTTGTATCAGCTCTTGGAACAGCCTCATGGGGAGGAATTGCCTTCCTAGAAGAGGTGGTCTTTATTCTCTTTATGGTCAATTGGTTAATTGCTGAGATTGGGAGAGACATTTGGGAAGTGACTGAGTAGCCTGACCCAGTCCTGGGGCACAGGGGCCACGTGGCATCCAGCCAGGACCCCCAGGGCTGCACTCACCCCCTCACCACCTACTCCTGTGCTGATAGGAACTGGGCTGCTGCCAGCCCCAGCAGTCCCTCAGCTCTGTGCTCACTGCAGTCTCTGTCATTTGGGCTGTCCTCCTGCTGCCTGTGGGGTGTTGGCAGCAGCTGCCAGTGCTTGTTGTGCCATGGAAGCAGGGAATGATTCAGCCCACCTGCTGTCCTGCAGCCTCTCAGGCTCCCTGTGCAGGTAGGAGACAGAAGGATACAATACCCTCTGCAGACAGACTGTTCCTGGAATGAGCACTGCCCATTTTCAATGCTCTGATGAGTCTCTTGCTCTGTAGCAGATGATGTGGATGTGGCTCTGGGCTCCTCCCTGTATGGCTTCCCTTAATGCCAAGCAAAAGGGTGGAGGGCAGAAAGCTTGGACAGAGCTGACAGGGAAATGTCTCGTGTTAGTGTCAGACACTATTAACTCTGTGTTTCTGGTGGGGCAGGAGCTGTACCAGCTCTCCAAGGAGAAGGCTGATTTCAGTGTTGTTGCTGGAGAGGAAGATGAGTCTACAGCTAGCAGCAGTGGAGAGAATGAGGGAAATTCCAGGTCTTCCACACCTCACAGCAGTATTAAAACCCCTCCACGCAAGTCACCCGCGAAAGCCCAGAAGCCAGAAGGTAAGGTGGTGCTCAGGAGCCTCAGGGTGTGTTCCCTATGTCTGGGGCTGGCTCTGGATCTTTGCCTTCTGTCAGAGACTTGAAGATCCCACGGCAGTTTTCATGTGCATGTCAGGCCTAATGGGCAAAGCTGCTCAGACCCACTGGTTTGGCCTGTGTTATTCCAGCATGGACTTGAGGAGCTGCAGCTCTGTGTTGAGATTGAGAAAACATGGCTGGAAACAGCACTGATGATGCTGTTTAGATTGGTGTTCAGGCACTCCTTGAGGCAGTAAAGGCTCTCTGGATGATGTGCTGCTGAGAACAGACCTTGAGCCTGGCAGAGCCTCAAGTATCATTTGTACCAAAACTACTTTGGAGCAGTTTCTTTGGGACTGAATCCCTTTAGTCTTATTAGCTCAAGGTCCTCAGCAGACTGTAAGACTGATCTGAAGAGCAAACCTGCTGCTTCCATTCCTGCAGGTCACGTGCCCTTTGGGTAGCCATTTTTGGCCATGAACCAGTATTTAATTTTATTTGGATGGAATTGATGCCCATAATGGGACACCTGGATGGAGGGGATTTCCAGGTAAATGCAGTTTGTGTTTGTCACTGGGGAACAACGTGCAGCAAATTGCTGAGTAGTTTCGAAAAGAGAATGTGGACAAGAGCACACAAATGAGACAAGTTTTTGCTTTTAGAGAGCAAAGCAGTCATTACATCCCCTCAAAAATCCGAGGAGAAACGAGGTGAGAAGAGAAAAGCATCTGAGATGGAGGACAATGGAAAAAAGGTACAGTCAGCTGGACAGCAGCCACAGGGGTGGGAGGAAGATGTAGCAGTTCAGTTTTCTGGTCACTTTTGCCTCCCATGTGGAAACTAATGTTGTGCCCACCCTTCTCTTGCTTTCCTCCCCCAGCAGCCACTGCTGGACATTTTCACGGGGGTGAAGCTCTACCTGTCGCCCTCTGTGAAGGACTTCGACAAAATCCGGCGCTACTTCATCGCCTACGACGGGGACCTCGTGCCAGAGTTCGACACAGCCTCAGCCACACATGTCATAGGGGACATTGATGACAATCCTGGTGCTAAACGTGTCTCTCCCAAGTGGATCTGGGAGTGCATCCGCAAACGCAGACTGGTAGCCCCGTGCTAGCAGTGTGAGGCAGCTGAGCTGACCTAGGAACAGCTGAGGACTAGGTAGGTGGAAGGAGTGGTGAGATTCCTCGGTGGAGATGTGGGTAGACATGAAATGCCATCAGAGGTAGTTACAAAGAGCCACAGTAACCATATGGAATAAATTAAGAAACTCTCTGAAGAAATGTCCCTGCTGAATCCAGTTTTCCTGCCCATAATGTAGACCACAGTCCTCCAGGGGCTGGTTTAGTCTCCTTGGGTTTTTAAAGTTTGGGTATTTTTATAGATAAATAAAACTGAAGCAGTTTCTCCTTTGCTGTAAGGACTTATTTTCCAAAGGTTATTCTCCACCTGGACAAGAAAACAGAACCCCACATACAGGGAACTGTTGGCAGTAGTGCCTGGATAACTTTGCTGTGTGGGTGCAATTTACATGAAGGTCACATGGCCTTCTGTTTGTCTTTCCTCTCCTGTCTCTTAACACTCAACTCAGGTCTGCAGCAGGAGCAGTTTACACCTTGGTGTAGGTTTCATATTAAAACCAGGACACCAAACAAGCTTCCATTACATTAATTGCTGTGGCATGAGCCAAGAGGTTGTTCATGTGTTCTGTTATTCACATTTCAACAAGTAAAAGCTAAGGAACTCCTCCACCTGCAGCTTTCAGGATAGCTGAGACCTCCTGGGAAGCTGTTCCAAACTGTGGAAGCACTTGAATAGGAATGAAATAAGGAAGTTGAGGTTTGGAAAGAGGTGTTTAAGTACTTTGCAGATGACCATGTGCATGTGCTGACTAACTAACTGTGTGTGCACATGCTGAAGGGACAAGGGAGGTGACCTTAGGCACTGGTTCCCTTAGTCTCAGGGGTAACACAGTGCTCTCCCCTTTGTACTCCTCACACAAAACTGTCCTAACACGTTAGTGTTTGTCTGCAGTTAACTTTTTTCCTTCGATCTCTTCTGTACTTATCTCTCTCCACTAACAGTATTTAAGCACGTGGGTGAGGTTGAGCAGGAGCTGTGGGATCTCTGTTTTCTCCCAGCCTGTTGTTACAGAGGCAGAAACCAAGTTAACTAAATCACATTTCAACTTTATTACAAAATTATAAACCAAACTTCTGTACCAAAACTAGTGAGTTTAACCATCATAGTACCAATAGGATTTAATAGAGAATAACATATCCTTTCAAGTAGAATATTAACTTTCCAAATATTTAAACAATGTACAGTGTACATAAAGCACATAAATATTTCCATTTACTTTATTAGTTCAGAACATTATATTCCTTTGGATCGTTAATCAGTTTCCTCCAGATTTTGATTTTCCTTTCAAAACAACTCACATGCATAAGTAGAAAATCCATTTTTACAAGGGAAACAAGAAGAGTCCTCCCTTCAGAAAGTACATTTTGGAGTCCCAGGGTGAGGAAATCTTCTCATCCCTAAAATTTCAGGCATTGAGCAACTTGATTTATCTGCCTATTCTCTACAAGGAAAAGTACATCTGTCCATAGGGGAATAATCATCTTCCTACTCAATTCCCCCAGCCCTGAGTTCATTGAAAAATATGACAACATGAATTTTCACAGTGAATTTACTAATGAGGCTGTTCAGCACTTTGTGTATTCCTGCACCTCCTGGAGGGCTCTGTGCCCTCTCCAAGAGCAAACACTGCTTACCTGCCTTTCTTGTTTAACATGATGCACTGAATTGTACCAGTTCCTTCTCATGCTTGAACTTGCTAAACCTTGAGCCAAAGATTAAAGAAGAACCTGACCAGGGAACGAGGTAAAACTCACAATGTTTAGTTCAGTAAACTGCAGCAACGGCTGCATTTTTGTGCAGTTCTAAGGCCACCTCAACAGTGCAGCAGTTCTGCTGCCTCCTGAGGGACAGATTTCTTGTCTCAGGTGCTTTATTTGCTCCAGGTTGCAGAGCAGAGACCCTCCACCCCCTGCAGCTGGGAGGGGAGTTGCTACTTATGCAGTGTTAAAGAACACACAAGTTTAACTTTCTGTTGACATTATTATCACTTACTGCACACGTAGCTTTGGTGCTATTCTCTAACTGCATTTCCATGCTCCAAGAGCTGTCAGGGGACACTGGGTTTGTGCTGTTCTCTGCTGGCAGCCAGGCAGGGACTCTGAACATAGAGTGATCACCTCTCCCTAAAGACAGACAGGAAAAACCTGGAGCAGAAGGTAATCAGCTTCACAAATGCCTTGGAATGAGGCTCAAGTCAGCTCAGCCAAATGGACTGAGTTCTCACAGGCCACTGGGGGGAAGAGATGATGCCAGTTACAATCTCCTCTAGCAGCAGCTTTCACACTTCTCTAGCAAGTCTCTTCCAAATGAAGACACTGTTCAGGAGGAGAGCTGTAAGGGCTTGCAGCTGTCAGACTCTCCCACCCACCATGACCAGCAGAAAGTACAAAATAAATTGCTTTGATAAGCAATCTGAAGGTAACAGAACTGTAACACTGAGCACAGGGGAGGGTGGGGGAAGCTAATCAAACAGCAGCAGCTGCATTGGTGATTACTCATGGACACAAGGGAGATAAAAACTTTCTTCCATGACTCCCTTCTAAAAAGAAAAAGTCACCTGTACTTAAATCTGATTGTGTAGCAGAAGAGTCCTCACTACTCTGCAGCTCTCTGGTTTCCTCACTGTCTCAAGCCTTGGATTCGTAGCTCCTTGAGCAAGTGAAGGCAGTTCAGTTCTGTCCTGACCCCTGCCATGTGCTGGGAAGTCAAATAAAACAACAAATCACACCAGAAAACTTCCCAGTGGCACATGAACAGAACCCACCCCAGGGAAAGGCTGGCTGTTCACAGCCTCCCTCTCCTCACAGCTCTCACTGACACAAAGGAACCTTCATACAAAACACATTTTTGCACAATTGCTCTCAGCTGGAATTAGGGAAGGTGGAGGCATCATCCTGCCTGGCCTGCAAGCATAAGCATTTTACATTAAATTAAACATAAAGTTAACAAGCATGGTGACATTTTAATCTTGGAAAATCAAGTCATTGCTGGGCAAGCCTGAGCAGCAAAACAAAGGACACTTTTTGAGACCCCAGTTCGCTTTTATTATTCAAGGGAAAATACAAAGCCTCTGGAGCTTCCTTTGTGGTGGAAAGCTGAGCATCCATCTGTCCTCAGCACTAGTGGCTCAAGTTATCCTAGGATGGAGGTGGTTAATGATTGCTGGCAATGAGCTCCAAGGAGTCCAGGCACTGTGGTGTAAAGCACGATGGTGGGAAGAGCAGTCAGGCTTGGCTGGAGTAGAACAGTTTCCCCAGGCTTCATCCTTCCTTCCCTCCCTTCCAGGGGGGTCCGTAAGCTAATCACCAGTAGAACTATTTGTAGCAATTTTGACCATTTCTCTAAGAGCAGATGAGGCTTTAAGGCATCACAGTCCTCACACACACACAGTTAGGTCTTAAAGACATGGACAGCCCTGATCACGTACTGCCTGCAGATGGGACACTCGCTCATCCGCTTCCCACACTTGGTGCAGGTCACCATGTGGCCACACTCCAGCAGGACACAGTCAATGGGTGCATCCATGCAGATTTTGCAGAGGTTGTCCTCAGTGCTGGGCAGCCCAGCACCACCTGAGGGAACAGGAGACCATGGATGGATGAGACAGAGAGAGGTACGTTGGGTTTGTGCCAAGTTGGCATTATGGAAGGGCTTCCCTAATGGAATTCTGCACATGAAATGGCTGAAAAGAATTCCCCTTGTGTTTGTATCTGCTCCAACAGCTGGCAAAGAGCAGCAAGTTTTAGCTGTCACCCAGTAATTTCTGTGTGATGAAAACAAATAGCATAGAGATTCTCAGCAATGAGGCAAATAAAGCAACATGGGTCTGTCTTCCCAAGTTACAGGTCAAGAGGAAACGGCCTCAAGTTGTGCTGAGGAGGTTTAGATTGGATATTAGGGAAAGTTTCTTTCCCAAAAGGGCTGTCAAGCACTGGCAGAGGCTCCCTAGGGAGGGATTGAAAAGCCATGTAGATGTGGCACTTAGGGACATGGTTAGTGGTGGCCTTGGCAGTGCTGGAGAACAGTCGGACTCGATCTTGGAGGGCTTTTCCCACCTAAACAACTCCATGATTAAGGATATCACTTACCAGTTTGATCGTCAGTGTCAAGAACTGCAACAGAAGAGAAAGTGATTCGGTGAGAACCAGAGAAGTGGGGCAGGAGTTGCCTGCAGCACTTACTGCCAGGCAGGGGCTGAAAGCCCTGAAGGAGTTGCTAAACCAAAACTGTTCTTGCTGATGCCCACAGAAAGGCTCAGGCTAGGACTGTGATCGGGACAGGTTGAACAACTGGCAAGGAACTTCTCTACTGAGCTTACACAACAGCTGAGGCTTCACAGAGATAAGAAGTTATCCCAAGGGATGTCTCAATTTTTAAGCCAGCCTTGGAATGTGTGTGGTTTGGCTTCCTAGTGCTGCACCTGCAGCAGCCCCTGGTGCCAGTTTCTTTGGGGTTACACAATCATCAATATTGTTGAGACACACAGAGGGAACAGTGATCCAGAGAAAAGGATAAATTCTGTCAGAAGCACAAGATACACAATACAAGACACAATGGAAGAAAAGATTGCTTTGGGTTTATATTATCTTTCATAGAGGACAAAGCCTAGAGAGATGTTTAAGGAAACAGCAGTTTAAGGAAACTACTCTGAACAGCACTGAGGCACAAACCTATGAAATCAAAGTGGTAAAGTACATTTCTCTTGTAAGTAATGTACAACTATGTGTCTTTTTAAATTAATACTTTAGAAGTGCAAACTAGCACCTGAAAGTCAAGCCAGAGACATTCTCTGTGCACCTCCATCCCCTCAGCAGTCACCTGTGCAGGCCCAGCATGTGCAGCAGAACACCTGTGATCCAGAGGACAGAGTCAAACCCCAGCTAAGCACAGCTGGGAGCAGTGGGAGCCACTGACTGTCCTGAGCACATGCCCTGAACTTCCCAGCTGCTTTTTGGTGGCAGTTTCCTGATTGGGCAGGGCATTTCCCTGCTCACTTTGCCAGTTACCATGAGTCAAAAGATAAGAGCTCACCCCAGTACATCCAGTAATCATCTACAGTCACACATCAGCTGTTCTGGGGTGAGGCAGTGCCCAGGGCAATCTGCCGCATGATCCCAAGATGTAGGACACACTGTGCTGGTGTTGCTGCTATAGGGCAGTCACTGTCCAGAGCTACCAGAACACTTCTTAAACAACTACAGGTAGGAGTGTACACAGTTCAGCTACTTTCCCTCTTAGGTGCCTAACACTCCCTCCTTTCTCCCCACTTGCACAAAACAGAAACATAAGTTCTATTTCCTTCTTCATTTGTCCATAAAAAGGGCAAACCTGGACAAGAGGCACATGTTTGCTAAGTTTCTTACCTAGATGTTGAAGGTCTTTCTCTTTATAGAGCCGAGTCACCCTCTCCAGCAGCTCCCACTTTTCACAGCAGCCTTTGTAGTTGACGAAGTTGCGAGCGAGGATTTCCTTCAGCTGCCGCACGGAGAGCGCGTTGATGTCGCCGATGCTCGTTAGGTCGGAGAGAGAAGCTTTCCTCCCCTGCACCAGGGTGTCTTCGGAGTCAGTAGACTGAAAAGGAACAAGATGGAATAATTCTTGCCCTCAACACCTGGAATACAATTGAACTCAACTTTCAACATGTGCACTAGCAGGAATTCATGTCTGGATGGATATATAACTGGTTACTCTGAGAATTCCTCCATCTATCATAATATAAGTCCTAAGATAAAAAGAAATCATTTCTATCATTATGGTGTCCAAGTGGCATCAGTTTTTTCTGTATGTGGAGGACAAGGTGATGCCAAAAGAAGGGGTTGGCTGGGTCTGCCAGTGGTCAGTCTCAGTTACTGCTCAGCCACCCATCTCGCAGTAATGATTCCCTGGGAGCAAATACAGCCTAGAACACCTAGTAGTCCTTGTCACCTAATTCCAGGACACACAAACCTGTGTCTCCTCCTCTGCTGGTGCTTCTGCTGCATTCTCAACTGTTGTCACACCAACTGGGCTCAGAGGCACATGACCATTTGCCTAGAAGAGGAAATAAAGCTTTCACCAATGGTGTCTGTGGGTGTCTGGAGGGAAATCAGCTTCAGTACAGCATCCCTGCAATCCCTGACCACTGGGAGGACAAGTGCAGGACAAGGTACAAGCCAGGAACACTCACAGAGTGAGTGAATTTATACACACACACACACTTCAAAAAATCAAAAGTGGAATTCCAATTGATGTGCCCTCAGCAGCCATTGTTCCCCTCTGCTTTCCTACTGCCAAAGAGACTGTAAGGTACTATCCTACTCATCCAAGTGGGGACATGTTAATATTTACAGAGCAAAAGAATTTCAAGAACAATCAAAGGGCCTGAACTGTAGCAGGATGTCATGCAAGTAGAGACAAGAAGCTGAAATGTATCATGGGGCAGAGCAAGGGAAGACAACAGAGCTGAATTTGCTGGTCAAAATTGATATGGAAATGCCTTTTAATGATTTACAAAAAGCATTATCCCAGGAAAACTCTTCCTTTGAACTAGATATATCTGCTGAGGAGGCAGAAGGTGCACACATGTTCACAGCTCTGGTCCACAAGGAACTAAATAAACCTATTAACTCTGTAATAGGACAAGGAGCAGATGTCAAACACTGAGTAAACTTCCCACAGCAGAGAGCAGAAAGCCAAACAAAGCAAGGTCAATAAAAAATAATTAAGCTCAAATGCCCCTGACAACGTTCATCAGATCTGCAGAGCTCATCATAAACTCAGGGTTTGTTTTCTGTTGAGTGCAGGTGACACCAAAAACCTCACCCACCTCCAACCATCTTTCTCATCAGTTCCAGTTCCAAAATTGCTCAAATCCCTGCTTGATTTCTGGCACAGGAATTAAAGAACAATAACCACCACTTCATCTGCACCTTCAGACACTTGTCACAAGTCGTTAGCATCAACACAGACATCAAGTACCAAAGGAACCAGTCCCAGGAACATCTAGTGGCAATGTGGACCAGAGCACCAGAGAAAACACATCCCAAAACAGCAATGCTGTTCTGGGAATGAATGATCAATACATTCAGCACTGCCCATCAAATCCAATTCCACTAGTGAATGGCACATCAGAGTTGGTGACAGCAGTCACAGCTTTACACAACAAAACCACCATGCAACATCTTAGTAGTTAATCCAAAACTAGAGCTGAATGAGTTTGCAAGATGCTTCTGGCCAGAGACTGTACCTGTTGGTGTTCCTGAGCTAGTGAACTTGAGATGGGATCTGCAGACACTGAGGATTCATCACGTGAGGTAGAGGAGGCCAGGCTGGCTGGGGGGTGAGCCACAAAGTCCTGCTGGCCAGAGGCACTAGTGTTTAATGTGTTTGTTCTTAGCTGATCTTCCTGGGTGATTACAGGGTGCTGGCCAAGGATCAGAAACACCAGGTCCTCCTTTTCACGACAAAACTCTGTGGAAATCTCATGGAGTGCCAAGTAGTCTCGCAGGTCCTTCACCTTCATCTTTATCAGCTCCTCCCTCTGGAAAGCTGTGGCTCGGAAGCGCTGGCAGAGGTGGCAGAGCAGGGGTCCACCCTCGGGCTGGTTGGAGCAGGATGTGCAAAAATTCTTCTTACAGTCCAAGCAGATGTGCTGGTAAAGAGAGAGGAAAGCAGTCAAACCAATCCTCCGTGCCCTGCGCCGGCAGAGCACGACGACCGTGGGCAGTGCTCCCCTCCTCGCTGAAGCCAAAGGAAGTCACAGCCTCTGTTAAAGCATAATCAAAACTTTCACATTTGTGAAAAAGTGCCAAGTATGTTATTCATGTTCCTAGATGAGGAAAAGGATTGATCCCTGAGCAGATCACTAGCTCACAGCCCTTAGAGAACCCCACTGACACTCCATCTGCCCAGAATGAAGCATTACATCCCGAGATGATTCCCTCAAATGACAGGAGTTTTCTGCACCTGCTCATATAGTTTAAGCCAGAGGAAATCAGGACACTTCCAAGTAAATTCCAGCTAGGTGTGCACATTGCTCTGTGCATTCAGAAAGCTTGAGCTCTGGAGAGAACTACTAAACATTTCTCTATTTCATGCATTGAATACTTGCTATGAATGACCTCCCTCCTCCCCTTTTTTTTTTCCTCCAACACTAAATGAATCTTTGTTTCACCATAAGAGGGAAAGGGAACTCAAAACTTGCAGTGTCTGACAAACGTCAAAGAATTCAACATTTATTTACACAACAACAGCTTATTTTGAAAGTAACACAGTGTGTGCCAGTTAGTGCTAGACAGAAAGTGTTGGAAGTTTTGGAAATATTAGGCCCCAGATGTTTCAAAACTTTACAGATCCAATTCTGTTGTTTAAGGTTTGTATTTGATACTGTTCTGATCTTGTCACTCAGGGCTCGATTTTCAGAAGTTCCAAGCACTCACAGTCCATGTTGACTTCTGCAGAAACTTGACTGTTCAACACTTTGGAAAGGCAAATTCTACATTTTCCAATAGGAATAGCAGCAGAACAGCCACATTACGCTCCTTTTAAAAAGCCCTGAGGGAAGAAAGAAGTGGTTTCAGTGCTGGTTAAAAATACTATGTGACAGCCTCAGAGAAGCCAAGCACTTCTGCTGTCCTGACATCCTGATCCTTCAGAGCTGTGCAAGGAAAAATACACATGTGGAGGTGGAGAAGCAACAAATACAAACACAAAGACAACTGTTTTACGAATTGCTTCTAGTGGTTAAAGAACATCTCTAACCTCACAGTTCAAAGAAGGCAGATGTTTCTCATGTTTTCCAGGCTGTAAATACACCACTTGCTTACAAAAAGCTCCTCCTGATCCCCCTTACAGCCTGGCAGTCCCCTCACTCCCCCCACAAATTACAACCAACAGGCCTCTCACTTAGACCCTGTAATACACTTACAGTGACAGTTAGTGGAAAGAATCCCAATTTCCTGCCCAAGTATGTTAAGACATGAAAATTTCTACCACAAAGAGAATCTCTGGTCATGCAAACTTGAAACCTCTTCTCAAAAATCCCTGTTTGGGAGCCTGCCAAGGAAAAGTGACTTTCAGCAATCACAAAGCAAGGCAGGAAGGGCAATTTCCACAGAACATCCAGTTTGGAGAAGTTTTCCTTAACTTGGTCATTATAAAAACCATTAATATGTAACTGACTTTTTTTTGACCATGATTGCAGGAGCAATCCTGTTTCTTGGGAAATCTGTAGGGCAGAGACAGGAACTAATGCTTGTGTGTGCCTAAAGCAGGGGAACAAACACTCCACAAAGGCAAAGTAATGGAAAACACCCCCAGTGGCAACACTTGCCCTCTCTCAATCACTCATCTCTGACAAGGGAATGATCAGAACTGAGGGGGGGAAAAAAACCCACACCCACTTTTCTCTGACAGGTGAAGTCTCCTGTGCCCTGCAGATTGCCAAACCTGCTCCAAAGGGAACCACTGCATGGCCAAGGACCTTCCAGATGGAAAACTCCTACCTGAGCACTGCCATCTTAAGGTATCACATAAGTGAGCAGAGCCCAAGGGCTGCATTACCCAACATATTCCTTGCAAGCAGTTAACAGTTATAACAGGAGTCTGCCTTAGTTATCAAATGACGTTTGAGAAGACAAAATAAACCCAATTCAGCACTAGGATTTCTCTTCAAAGAAGACAATTCCCCAGTCTGTACGTGAGCACCAAGTATTTAAGCACTCACAGAAGCTGTTGGGCACATCTCAGCACCAAAACAGCTCTAACAGCTTCAATGTATTTGCTGAGCTCTGCCTGGAAGGGCAGTGACTGGAGGCACTGGGCTCTTCACAGGGATTAGTTTCAAATGTTGTATATTAAAACCTGGCCCTAAAACCAGGCACTTCTGCCTGGTGCTCACTAACTGGCAGCACAGTCAGGATGGTCAGACAGCAGTGAAATACTTCACACCAGAAGTCTGTCCAGGATGGAAGTTGTTCCTGGGTGTTTGCTCTGGGAGTCTCCCAGAGACACCAGGATGGGGCTTGAATGCACTTGGCTCTTCTCTGTGTGCAGGGTAAAACCTGGCCCTAAAACCAGGCACTTCTGCCTGGTGCTCACTAACTGGCAGCACAGTCAGGATGGTCAGACAGCAGTGAAATACTTCACACCAGAAGTCTGTCCAGGATGGAAGTTGTTCCTGGGTGTTTGCTCTGGGAGTCTCCCAGAGACACCAGGATGGGGCTTGAATGCACTTGGCTCTTCTCTGTGTGCAGGGTAACATGAAGAAAACATTAAAGTTCCCTACAGACACTGCTGTTCAGGGCTTCTTTATCTTACACTCCAAATTGCCAGGAGGCTTTTCCCTAAGTGTGCAAAGATAAGCATCTTCCTGAAAATGTCAGCCAAGTCAGGACACTGCAATCAGGAAATGGGGGAGGATGGAAAGTAACAATCTGAGATATCTACCAAGGATGCCATAGCTTCCTAGCAGCAGAGAGGGGAATAAAGATCTTGTGGAATCAGTTTGCTGCAGAAAACCAAGATCAAAAAAGTCAAATAAGAGAAGGAAAATGCAAAAAACCTCATGGATTTTTACTACAGTGATTACATGTTACATCCTTTAAAGATGCTCACCAGTCACTTGGAAGCATCCTGTAAGTACATGTGCCATTCAAGAGTCCCCTTCCCTAACCCTTCTGGGAGATGCCATGTCATATGAGAATTAAAATACAGTTATGATGAAAGAACAAGTACTTCAGATCCCACCACTCCACTTCTCAGGTTTTTGTTTGTTTGTTGAGTTTGGGGTTTTTTAAGGCAATCTAGGTTATCCTTATGGTCACCAGTGCAGAAGGAATTAATTTTTATCCACTGTCCTTCAGTATAAACATTAACTGGACACTAGAGTTCAAAGGTGCTGCCTTTCCCAGGAGTCTTCCATGCTCTCTGTGCAGCACAGTGAGATTTCACACACTTCTCAGTCCATACCAACAGCATTAAAGCATTATCATGGCTTACAAACATGTCATTGTGTCGTAAGTTATGTGTTCAGCTCCCTCTGAAGACCAAGGCCTGATGGATGAGCTCTGGCAAACCTTCCTGCAGCTGTTTCATCATTCCCACCTGCAACATCGAGCTCCAGTCAGCCCCAGAGATCCCTGCCCAGGAGCTGTGGTTGGGAGGGAGGTTCAGGAGTCCCTTTGCAACACAGGATAGAAACCTCAGGCTCAGTTTCACTGACAGTCTGTGCTGAGCAGGAGCAGATGGGACACAGGCACACATTGTCCTCTGCTGCCCCAGTTCCATGGACACAGCTCCCACAGGAAAACGGGAGGCTGCTGAGGGCAGGAATGGCTTCACTGCTTCAGCAGATCCTCTACAATTTGTGCACCAGAGCTTTCCCTCACCCCAGTCAGCGTGTGCACACACACCTGGAGGCACTGATGGCCTCTAAAGACAGCTCCTAGAAAATGCACATTTTAGAAGACAATTGGGAAAACAGGGCTGTAGCTCTGGCACTGCTGCTGTCAAGTCCACACTGAACAGGCTGAGGTGGTTTTGTTTCAGAAGCAGAATTACCTGCACCCACAATTTGCCACAGTGCAGAACAGCAAGCACGATAACTCTCTGCACAAGTGTTTGTGAGGACATGTCATATTAATGAGGGCAATGCTAAAGACAACACCACAGAGCCATGTGCAGTGACAGCACCATTCCAGCTGAGCCAGCACCTACCACTGCCAGGATGAGTCCAAGCATCCTTACATGCCCCAACTATGTTATTGTGTGTGTCCAGCCTCCAACATACATTACCAAAGTTTGAATTTCCAGTAATTTCTGGAGCAACAACACTTCTCAGTGCAAAAATGCATCAACATCCCTGTTGTCCTGTGAGTAGAAAGCAGCAGCTCTGCCAAGACTTACCATTTCCCAAATGTGTGTCCTCATGCATGAATAAAAGGGTGCAAGAAAAACCAATTTAGGAGTTTTCTCATCTAATCTAAAAGGGCCAAAATTCACCATTATTTTTAATTTCTCACATTCTTAAGTTCAGTAAATGCTACAGATAGCCACTTCCTAACCCACAGAGTGTGGACACAGAACAACTTTCCTCACTAAAACACTTTCAAGCAGCATTATAGGACCCACCATGCCCAAACAATGCCCCAGGCTGCCTTGTGGCAGCATTTATTTTTGTACCTGCAGACTCACAAATGAAGTTTACAAACCAGATAAAACAGATTTGGAGTTGGTTTGGGGTTACTTCTGCTTCAGCAGCTCTACACACACCCTCAAATAAACCTCCCAGGTGTTTTAGCTTGGGCAGCAATAGTATGGAGAAGAGACAGACAGATCTTCCTTCACTGAAAGCACAAACCTTCTTGTCAGAACTTAGAGATTTCTTTTTTAAAGGATATTCGTGTTTTTAAATACCAAATTGAATAACTCATGTGCAAGATAATGCTCCTTTAACTGATTATCAGCACTTTGGCTTTCTTTGTTCTGGGACAGCCAAGTCTGCTGAAGGTTAAGCTCTGCATTTCCAGTCCCACTAACTGCGAAAGAAGGACTGAAGACCCAGAAGCCAAGGCAAGCTGTCTTTTCCCATATGGAATGTCCTCAAATCAGAGACCCCTGATGTGTGTCCATTCCTTCCCAAGCTGTGTCTCTGTGATCCCATGACCTCACTGCACACAGCCAGGGCAGGCACTGGCGACTCACCTTCCTGGAGGAGCTGTCGAAGTGCACCCCACAGGCTTTGCAGCTCTGCTCAGAAGCAGTGGGAGAGGGAAAGGAGCTGTATCCAGGGTTGGAATAGGCTTGGGCTCGGGCTCCTGGCTGTGGCTGGGGCTGTATCTCCTCAGGTGAGCCATCCAGACAGAACCAGTTACAGCAGCTCGCCCACATAGTAACTGGGAGGGAAAACATCCAGGTTAGAAAAAACACAGTCTGTCAGCTGAAGTGAGAACAAAGCTGAAATGCAGCTAAAGTGCCACAGTCATTCATTTGTAACACTGTGTTTGTAAGTTTTGATCCTTCCTCTGACTTACACATGCAAAACTCACATGCCCAGTCCAACACAATGTGCCTTTCGGTGAGAAGGGGCAAAGACAGGTCAGGACAGTTATTACAAAAATTTATTAGAGTGAAGAGGTTACAGTGTGATAAATTTTATGTCCCACTTGGCTGTATGAGACTCTGTAAGTTTGCTGTAACAGGCTGTCTCTATTTCACATCAGCTGTAATACTTTGGGGTTTGTGCAGCAGGAAAACAAAACAGAAGCACAAATTATGTGGCAAAAAGCAGTTAAATAAAATCATAAATGGCTGTTCTGCAGCTTTATCCTAAATCCCTCTACAGATTTACAGCTACAAATCTAAAAAGCTAAAAAAACCCCAAGAGCAGTGGAGCTATTGATTTCACACATGCACAGATACACACACACACACTTACCTATAATCCTTACAGTCCAGTGCAAAATAATCAGGTTTGAAGTCTTCTAAAACCACTTAAACAGCAGTATTCCAGAAATACACTGCTATAAACTTGCTTTTGGCAGTTCACAAAGAAATCTGAATTCATCTGGGCACTCAGTTTCTGGAGCACACACCATGTGTCATCACTTACGGGTAAACAGAATACAAATTGCCTCCTCTGCATTTCTACTCTCACACAGGAGTTCCTGAACTCTCTTTCTTTCATGTCTCAAAAATCAGGTCCCTCAGTGACAGTGTTCAGCAACTGCTCAATTTTATACACTTCTGGCAATAAAACATCTCTCAGCTACAAAGCCAATTCATTCCTTTGCCCTAGTAAGTATTGCCACTGTGAAACTCCAGATTCCCAAGGGAATGGGGCTGGTATCAATCCTAAAGGTTATTTGGTATAATATACCAACACAGTGTTCTGTTCTTTTTAAGCTGTGTTAAATCCTTTGGGCTGATGTGCTTGTACTGGGAAGCTTTTGCAGCCTGGTGCTGTTCCAGTAGCTGCAGCTTTAGTGGCATCTTTCATCCTTTGAAACTCTCACTGAATTTGGCTGGTCAGAGTCCCCACTGTGGCAGACACATCCCTTCCAAATCCCACAGTGTGAGCTCACCCACCAGTGAGCTCTCCCTGCAGGCTCAGCACATTTCCATCCTTAAGGGAAAATCTACAGATTCATGCCCTGATACATTCTTGGTGTAACTGATGTGCACATTGCTGCAGTGTAAATTGCACTTAGGCTGGCAACCAGATCTCAATAAAGAGTGTAAATTGCACTTAGACTGGCAACCAGATCCCAATAAATACACGGAGAGAAGTGTTCCGTGAACAAAAATAACCTATTAGCTCTGCACTGCAATCACACATGTACTTCAGATGGCACAGATAAAAGAAACAATTACTTCTCCTCTCTGCACATCAATTTTCAAGCTCTCAGTCCCACTCAGAAGTTAGCACTTTCTGTAGCAAAAATACCAATTTCCTATTTCAAATTGTGCTCTTCAGAGGTTTAATTTCTTCCTAGGAACTGCGAATCTAAACAACGTGAAAGCTGCACAGTCCAACAAGCACTCACAGCCTCCACAGCAGTGGAAAACTGTGTCCAGAGCTGAGCTCCCTTCCTGTTGGAGGGACCCCCCCGAGCTGCAGGCCACCCACGACAGCAGAATACACAAATGCTACTGCCTGACCCCGAAAACTGTTTTCCTAAAAAAGGACAGCCTCATAATTCACTCTGGAACACTGCAACATGTCAAACATTGGGAAGAAAAACACAAGGCAGTGCACAAATCAGGATAAAGTAAGACAGAGCTCAGCATTCAGCTGGGGTTGTAGGTCTGCGAGTGCCAGGAAATTAAAGGCCGACAAAAGGCTCAGACATCGCTTCAGACGAGCCTTAATCCTGCTCAGTTTCCAAAGCATGGAAGGGAAATGTCCATAAACAAACAACTAACAACCAGGACTGTTCCCTGATCTGTTAGATTTTTCCTTCCTGAAGAGAAAGGAGCGCACACATCTCAAACACCTCAGTACCTGCCCACAGCTGCACTGAGACCACAAGAAGAAATGCAGGTAAGATTCAGCAGCTGCTCCAGGAGGGATTTTTCCTGGTCAGAATGTACAGGATCACTTTTAAGGCCTCAGAAAATAAACACTGCCAGGGGAAGAGGACTGCAAACAGAATTTCATAGTGAAATTTCAGGATGACCATTTCCTTGATAACTCTACAATGTTTGCTACAGCCAATAAAGTCCCTTATTTATTTTGTTACTCATTCCAAGGTGTGTGGTCATCTCCATGCAGGAACTGCTCATTTCCCTAAGCAATGCTTGGATGGGTGGGTGGTACATCTGTGGCAGAGTTTGAGGGTCAGAATTAAAGCCCTGCCCTGTGCAAAGTCAGTGCTCTGCAGATGAGGGCTGATCGGCTCTCAAGGAGCTCCACAGCTCCACAGTGACAAATAAATTCCCAGCCAAAAAAATTCCCAGTGGAAAGAGCTAATTCTTTGTGGTACTCCAGGGCTGAGTAAGTAGTTACAGTCACCTAATAGTAATGTGTTGATTTGGAAAAGTTAATGACACCATGGATTTCAGGAATTCTCAAGGAACATTTCAATAAAAGATGTTGACTTACTGGCAGGGCTGATGTTTCAGGCATCCCTGACATCAGCATTATTCCTGGACAAGATGCTCATCCTGGCTAATGGGAGCCACAGGAACAAGAGTTTTACCCACACAGCTGAGCATGGCTTTGGCAGACTGGAAGCTCCATGGCAGGCACCCAACAGATGACTTCTGGCAGCCAAAAACTACCTGCCCTAAATCCTAACTGCATCTTGTGCTTGGAGCATCTGCCAGAGCAAAGGGAGAAGGAGACTCATCAAGGGTGGAGATGCAAGATCAAACAGTCTCTCCTGGACTTGCAAACACATCCACCTACATGGAAATCACCACCTTGGGAAGGAGGAATGTTTTACCTTGGGTTTCTTTAGAAAAGCCAGAAGAAATCCAATAAATATTGGGAGCTGCTTGTCATGGCCTGTAGGCAAAGCAGTGTCACTACTGCTCCATGCTCTGCTGGACTGCTCTTATTTATTTATTCATTTATCTACTATGAAGCTGTGGATGCCATAACTCTCTTCACTGAATCTAAACAGAAGAGTGAAATTCATTTTACCATCTGTTCCTTAACACATCATAAGTTATCACAGAATCACAGAGGGGCTGGACTGGACTGGACCTTACAGATCATCCAGCCCCAACCCCCTGCCCTAGGCAGGGATATCTCCTCACTAGATCAGGTTACCCAAGGCTTCATTCAACTTGGCCTTGAACACTGCCAGGGTCGGGGCAGCCACCACATCCCTGGGCAACCTGTATGAAAATAAATTCTGTATGAATTTGCAAACATGATTTAATTCTGGAGGAAACACCAGTGATGTTCAAGTTTTCCTCCCCGACACTGTTGAAGACAGGATTTGTAATGCAGGTCTGGATTCTCACACTTTCCATCTTCATTAAAACAAGTGTTTGAACTCAGGTTCTCACTACATATGCAACATTACTGCAATGACCTTCCTAGCTGGAGCAGCAGAGATCACTGCCTACACACAGGATTTATTACACATGTTATTTGGATTTTATCAAAGGGAAGGCTGTGGCTGTAGAGGAAAACTGTGGGTTATGTTTGAATATAAAATTTCCCTTTGTTTTCCTAAGGGGACAAACAATAAGGGACTAGAACAAGCAAAAGGAACATCTCAGAATCAATGAGCTTTCAGCTCTGTATAATGAAGCTCTGGAGGACTGGGTCTGGTGGTGACTGCTCAGGAAATCCAGGAGCTGGAATGCAGTAGCACCAACAAGACACTTGAGTTAAGGGATCAAAAGAAGCTCAGCTCCCAGGGCAGCTGATGTTACTCCCACATGAGGAGAAGCCACCACAACAAGTAGTCCTCCTGCTCCTGACAGGCCTGTAACAGCTGGAACACCAGGGCTGATGACCCTTGAGGCTACTGCAGATGGAGCAGAGTGCCAAAAAGGGAGGGAGATGCAAGACTAACAGCAGCTTTGCAAGGGCCTGCAGTGGTGCTTGCTCATCAGCCCTAAGTGCTCCCTTGTACCTCCTAATTAGAGGAGACTCCGTTCACCACAAATGAGCTGCTTTTCCATTTTGTGAAACATCAAGCTTCTCTTTCCACCTCATTCATCCAGAGACCATCCTCCTTGCTACCTTCTTACAACCTTCAGAACCTGCTACAGTCAGCTAGAGATGCTCTACAACAACACATGTCCAACCTGGCATCCTCATGTGGCCTCCACAACAGCAAAGCTATGTTCATTGGTAAGACACAAGGCAACACACCAAGACTGGGACGATGCTGTGCACAAAAGCTTTAGTTCCTGCCATTTCTAGTAGCTTAAAGATCACTGAAGTCTCTCCAGGAGGCCAGAAAAAGGCACTGTAGCTTTATAATATTCATGTATTGCTGACACACTTTAAAAATTATTCTTTTTGTTATTAATCCACTGCAAAATGAATCGGAGCTCACTTCCAGGAATGCTGATTTGAAATGGTTGAAGTATTTAATGAGTTAACCACCTTGCTGCCTCATTAACAGTGTTGTCATTGTTACAGTTTAGTACTTTATTTCAGTAAACCTGCATTGATAATAAATCCCTTGTTAAAATTAGTTTCACTAATAACCTACCACTTCCAGACTGAATTCACAGCTTGCAGGGTCAAAAATGAGTATTTACTTGCTAACAGAGCTATGGAATAATCTGCTCAAATGCCATTTATACATGAAGTATTGGTTTTCTCAGCCTATGTACCTGAATTATGATAAATGGGAGGAACCATATGCTGGGACAGCTGGAAAAGTCAGCAAATGAGCCACTCACAGGAGGGACAAGGTTGC